TTGTCGAGAAAATGATAAAAATTGAAATATTCGTGCTTTTTGTATTTTTCTCAATATCTCAATCAAAAAACAATTTAATGCCGAACTTACCTATTGTAAATTCATAATTTGATTGATTTATTAAATATATTATACATTATTCTGTATTTGATGTGCAAATTTGAGGTATCTACAAACGTTTACATATATTTACTACTTTATTACAGGGAGAATATCGTATGATTTTTGATAAATTATATCAATGTGATTCAATAAAAAATCATTCAGTTAAATTTAATGTTTATTTTAATAAGAAGACATCAAGTATGAATGAGATGAAAGGGAATTTAACATATTTGGTACCTTTTGACGATATTCTCACAGTAAGTGAATAATAATTTATTTTGAATAATATAGTAAAACTTTCCTATTACAAAGACTAGACACGAACAATAATTCTTGCAGTAGAAAATTTTGTTAAAACTAGTCTGTAGATGAATGTATATAAAATTTGACTGATTTGTAATCAACGTAGGTATAGCTAAAACTATTTAATTTTAAATATTTATATTGTCCATTTAACCTGAAGTAATATATATTATTTATTTATAGATTGATGTGAATTTTGCGTCTTGGGGTTCAACTGGTGGTTGGAAATCAAATTCGTATATTTACATAACAAAAAATGCATGTAGTAGAGTAAAATATCTCTTAGGAAATGCATGGATTTCAGTTTTCAAGGCTTTCAACTTCTCAACTGATAGATGCCCAATACTACCGGTAACGTATAAAAAGTAAAAACACCGAAAACAGTAAAGTTGTATCATTTTATAACAGCTATGGATATATATTATTTTATTTGGATAATGTGACTTGGAAAATGTTAAATTAATAAAACAAAAAATTTAATATTTATAAAAAAAACCACCTAAAAAAGTGGGTTAAATTATATATATACTAGTAGACCCCGTGAACTTCGTTGTCCTTAAAAAAGACAAACCTTTCAAAAATTGTGATTGTTCAGATCCTTTTAGAAGTAACTCGCAGCAGTAAGTGCAATTCAGCAGGATGTACTCGTCTGCATTTGTTCTTCGAAAAAAATGTCCACTATGGTGTTTTTAATGACACAAACAAATAGAAAATATTCGAATTAAAAAATGTTATGGGTTATAGGATTTGAGAATAATATTTATTTATTTTTTTTTTTTTTAATTTGTATATTTTCTATTTGTTTGTGTCCATAGCAACCATTAATAAACAAAAATGTCTATCTTAAATTTCTAAATTCCTATTTGAGCACCTCCCATTTTTGATCAATTCCCTTTTTAAATTAACCTAAAACGTATTCTCAAACCTACCAAATATGCACAGAAAATGTTATCAATATATCGGTCGAGCCGTTTCGGAGGAGTTCAATCACTAACACTGTGCCATTAGAATTTTATATATTAGACAAATATAAGTTCCTATATAATGGTACCGCTTTGCTATGTATTATGGATCGTGCCAGTCACTGTTATGTAAGTTTTAAATTTGAATTCAATGATTTAAATGATTGTTTACAATAAGCGATTAGGTATGAGAAAAAATTATATAGTCAGTACATCATTAATTTTTTTTCTACCGCAAAATGTGATGACAGACAGACAAAATTAAAATTAAAATTAAAAAAATCACAAATCATTGTTAAATTAACATATTCATCCGCTCAGAATCTATGTGCATTGTGTGCACTTCACGATGAAGTTGTTTGGTATTTGTTATTTCTAACAATTTTTCTCTATATTTTTACAGGGAACATATACTACATCAGGACTTGACATGAATAAATTTGAAGACAATAACTTTCCCAAAATATATTTTTATGGAAAATATAAATGTGTGATTAAGATAAAAACCGTAGAAAATAAAGTAGTTGGCTGCGTGGTTGTAGAGTTAACTGTTATACGGCCGTGGGAAACACCAAATTGATTAAATTGTACAAAATAGTAATACATGTTATTGAGTAGCATATATTTGTATGATCACACTTCACAGTACCTTTTTTACAGGGAGACTACATTTTAAATGGCCATTTCTACATATTTCCACCATGGAAAAGTGTAATGTATGTTCAAAGGATATTTATTTAAATTTTATTTTGTTAAGTATCATTTTAAACAGTTTATTATATGTATATAAATAATATTTTATTTACTAATGCTATTATAAATAAATTCTAAAAAAATATTATTTACACAAGTTTTCTTACTTCTCTAGTAAAAGGCACATATTATTCTACAATACGATCATGAATAAATAAACAACAATAAGGTGCACCTGTAAGCAATAATTCTGATACTTCAATTTCCAATTGAATATCTACTGCCAAGGCTGTAGCTGAATCGTTTTGTCTCGAAGTGTTAATAACTATAATTAGAGAGTTTGATAGAAAAGAAGAAGAACTGAATATTGGGTTAAAAATACTTTTTTTTATAGCATGACACTTGAAAGTTGAAACGATGTATATCATTATCATATAATAAAGTGAAATTATTTTTTGTAAAATCTTAATTCAAATTATCATATGGATAGGCTATTGAGTTCAGAAATAATTCTACGTTTGTTAGAGTACAATGATCAAATATACTAACATTTTTTGCTAATTAATTTTTATTTCCTTTTTCTAATCAAATTATGATAAATCGCTGTTTTTCTAATTTTGAAGCAGTTTTAAAATTTCATACAACTTTTTCAGTCGTTACTAGTAGAATATTCAAAAGTTTCAAAAGATCTAAAAGGAATGAACAAATTTTATTCTTTTTCTAAAAGTTTTGATAATCTTAACCTTTCTCCATCGTCAACAGTGATATTTGGAATATATTCCTGACTATTTTGTTTAAACTTTAAACCAACTTTACCTGTAGAAGCAGCTATAACAGTTTAAAAGCTTAACTCATTTAAATAACTATGGCTTTCGTTATGTGTTGTTTAATACGCAGAACGACTATTAATTGAATTTAACTGAAGTTATTAATTGGGTTCTTATTTTGATCAACTAACTGAATCTACTAACTTCTTAAAAAATAAATATAAACTTTTTTAGGTTCAATATAAAACTTTCTGAAGTAATCACTCCTATCTCCAATCTGTTATTAGTTGAATTTATATTTGTAAATAAATTGTTCGTAAACATAATAAAGCTATTTCCGAATAAACGTGAACGTTTAGAGACTGAAAATAATTCGTATAAAATATAGTTATATTTCCAGTCAAACTTAATGTAACAAATACATTCATGGTTGTAAAATTAAATGCATAAATGTTAGCTTTTAAAACCGACCTAACCGAAACCTCCGGGGATTAGGGCGTTGAGAGGTTCTGACCGTGACTTCGTGAAGAGCGGGTCGGTCACTGGACTTAGCCACCTGGTGACGCCTCTGTGAGGCGTGGCATGGGCCCACCGTGAGCCCGCAGTAGACGGCCCAAATCTCGGGAGGACTATAAGCTGAGGCCAGTCGCCGACGAAGCTTCGTCCGAGCATCCCACCTTTGATGTGCTTTACCTAATGGGAGGCGAGAATGGTGCTTCGGGGCCCCTCGGTGTTGAGAGATTAACACCGAGCCCTCACACGTCGACCGCGGCGGACACTGTCCTCGGTCGACGGCGGTTTGGTTACGGAGTGGCGGTAGACTGGAGCTTACTATGTGGAAAAAGGCCGCATGTTTGGTCAGGGGAAGGCTGGCGAGTGACGGAGCCGGATGGACTCGTACGGTGACAGCCGGCCGAGGAAGCACGGTCCCTCATTAACGCTCACCCAGATTATCGTTGGGGCTATATGCAGAGAAGGTTGTCCGTGACCATAAACGGAAAACAACGTGGATAGATTGCGGCCCCACCAAGGTGGCGACAGGCACCTGTATGCCCTAGCCGGATGGTACGGGAGCGCCGGAGAATTCATCCGTGCGCGCCCGGTGCTCGTGGTCCTTAGACGAAGTGCAGTCGCCTGTCTGTCGACCACGAACACGTCAGCCATGATTCGTCATGCAGTGTTACTGGTCGGCTGGGGGGCGGCCGTAAGACCTCCGTGGCTCTTGACTAGCACCTAGTGCTAATATAAGGTATGCAGTTGTAGCCGCAAGGCACCAAACAGGGAAGATTCGTGTCAATCTACTTGTTGAATCACAAAATGGATATCCATTGTCGAAAACAATTTTAAAATAATTCTAAAAAGGATTGAACATTTTTCATTAATATATATGAATAGCTGAACATGATTCAAAATATTATGAATATGTATTCTATCGTATAGAAAACAATAATATAAACAAGGGGCAGCATTTTTCTTCGGGCAAGTCATGGTGTCCGGAGAACGAGTGCCGCCATCCCCCACCCAGGCATGGCCGATAAAAAAGGGTGTCCAAATCGAAAATTCTGCCAAAACACACACACGTGTTAACAACCTACAGTACCCCCCCCCCCCCTACAATACCACAGGCTAATGACCTAAGTTGTCAAAGCCTTAACCCTAAAAAATAATAATATAGACATTTGGTGAAATTGAAAAAATCGAAGACAAATCGTTAAATTATTGGTGTACCTACCTAGTTATATCAATAACGTACAAATTTGAAACGCTAATAAAAAATTGCTTTGACTTTTGTGTAAACTTTTAAATTTTGAGCGGAACAATAAATGTATGGATTTTACAATGATGTGTTTTTTATTAATTTTTTTAATTTTTTGTGTATGTGTACACAAAAAGTTGTCAAAATAATGATTCGATTTTCAACTTGAGTATCTTTTTCGATGGGAGAGTGAATCAAGTTGGTGCATTGGGGAAGTCAAAATCATAATATATTCCCATTTTTGAACGCCCGGCAATGGGGGGCACAGACCGAAGGACCACTCGGTGGTAACCGAGAAAGAAATACCAAATTTGTATATTCTCAATACTGCCTACTGGATCGGGTTGATAGGCAACTACACACACACCCGCCGGACCCAATGCCTATTAGTCGGGGTGATAGGCAATTATACACATGCCTGATCGACTGATTTCGGTTCCATGTCTTTACGCCGACGGTATCAACGCCGACGGTATCTACGCCGATAGCATCGACGCCGACGGTATCTACGCCGATAGCATCGACGCCGACGGTATCTACGCCGACGGTATCTACGCCGACGGCATTTACGCCGACGGCATTTACGCCGACGGTACCTACGCCGACGGCATCTACGCCGACTAGTATCTACGCCGACGGAAAAAATGCCGACGAGTATCTACGCCGATGGTATGTTTTTTTACAAAACGAATGTGTTTCTATGGGACTAATATAAGAATAAAAATTAACTAATATGAAACTGAAAATTTTGGAAAATTAATTATGTTACTAAATAATTAAAAATAAAATACGTAACTCGTCGTTGCCTAGTTTTTTTTAATAATAAATATTTTTTGGCTCTGAAAAGAACCTTTTTATGCCCTAAAAAGGACATTTTTTAAAACGACGAGTGCCCCCTAAACTTGGCCATTTAGCAAGATTGGGATTGAAAATTATGAGCATTTCCCTGCAAATAATTGGAGGTGTCGCGATTCCCATAGATTTCAACGATTTCTTTAATTCGCAATGCTGTGTCTCGATAACACAGTTATGGGTATGTGTTTGTCTTCTTTGATTTTGTCCGTGGTATACACAAAACCTTTATTGATCAACTGTTGGTTGCCCTTCTGGCTTAAAACAAATTCAAGTGGCATGGTTGCTTTTGACTTCTTACAAGACCGCATTTTAGAATCGAACTGACCGACGAACCGGCCTTGGAAGAATGCTTCCTAAATTTAAGCTGAGCCTCTGGAATTGTTACGAGGCATCGTTGAATGATCTACCCAAAACTAACAACGCCGTTGAAGGCTGGCATCGAGGATTCAGCTCTCTTTTAGGAGCAAATCATCCATCTCTTTGGAAATTCATTGAGGGTCTGCAAAATCAGCAGAGCCTAAATGAATTCCAAATCAACCAGTACATTGCTAGATTACCACCAGCACAGGGACGACGGTGTTATCGAGACACAGCATTGCGAATTAAAGAAATCGTTAAAGACTATGGGAATCGCGACACCTCTGAATATTTGCAGGGAATTGCTCATAATTTTCAATTCCAATCTTGTTAAATGTCCAAGTTTAGGGTCCACTCGTCGTTTTAAAAAATGTCCTTTTTTAGGACATAAAAGGGCTCTTTTCAGAGCTAAAAAATATTTATTAATAAAAAAAAACTAGGCAACAACGAGGTACGTATTTTATTTTTAATTATTTAATAACATAATTAATTTTCCAAAATTTTCAGTTTCATATTAGTTAATTTTTATTCTTATATTAGTCCCATAGAAACACATTCGTTTTGTAAAAAAACATACCATTGGCGTATTTACTATCGGCGTAGATACTCGTCGGCATTTTTTCCGTCGGCGTAGATACTAGTCGGCGTAGATGCCGTCGGCGTAAATGACGTCGACGTAGATACCGTCGGCGTAAAGACATGATACCCTGATTTCTACTCGGCGATGACACTATGGCGAGGATGGGAGGTGACGTACACACAGGGAATCAGGACAATGCAATTTAATTATGGGGAGGGGTCTATGTGGTCGAATCGATTTGGTGCAATGACCACAGAGCTCACACAGATCAGGGACTTAAAATTAAGGAAGACTGCTATTTTCTGGTAGTCCCTCTGAGGATTCACCCGACACACTGGACGACCTGGGCGGCCTGGGAGGCCTCTCACACAACGTATTTGTTGCTGGCGGACTTACGCATCGGCACTCTCATTGGTCATGACGGGGACTCCAGGGCAGCACAACACAATTATCGGGAGCCACTGACTATGTTGAGCAGATGAAAGGAGGTGATATAAAATAGTAACTTACAAGATGAGTGCTGAATTATGAAGGTTTTTATTTGCTTTTAATGAACACTGAAGGCCGTGCGTTCATGGCTATACATATATGTATAATATTGTATAATATATTTGATTTATGAATCACAAAAACAATAATAATAATTTTAATAAATACTATGCGCTCAATGCGACTTAAAAAATACAATAGCAACGACAAAAAGACACTGCTGCAATAGCGGGACAAGAAAAAGAATAATTTTTAAGTACAACAATAATAATACGAAAAACCAACAATTGCGTTGGCCGTAGAAGTAAACAATAACAAAGAAAACATGATAGTGATATGAGAAAATGATAATAATATTGGGCAAAAATTGACCAATACTTATTTACACAAAACGTGAAAACAAAGATAATAAATATACATACAATTTAGAACAATTGGGTGTTACCCATTTGCGCCAAAAAAAAAATGAATTAGTTTTGGGTGCAGCCCATTTGCGCCAAAATAAAAAAGGTATGTTTTTCCGACAGCCCACCTGCGCCAAATTTACCTGGTATAATTATAATAAAGTAATATATTTTTTTCTCAAATAATAATAAATACAATTTTATTTAAATCATAGTTAATTATACGAATGTTTTTAAAATAATAATCAATAATAGCTGTATATACACATTTTTTTTGAAACAATAATCAGAATTAATACAAACTGTTTTTAAAAACTATACATATACTTATTAATTACTAACTATTATAATTTATAACAAATAATATAAATAAAACATATTTTTTATTAATTATAATAAACTTATATATTTTTTTTTCAATCAAATTATAGTCAATCGTACGATCTTTTTAAAAATAATTATCAATAATACACTTTTTAAACAATATTAAATAATTATTATAGGTACACATTTTATTGAAAATTATAGGCTATAGGTAATAATAGTAAATTGAATTATAGTCAATAAAATATCAATATCAATCAAATTGATCATAATAAAAAATAAATTAAGATTTTAAAAAATAGTTATCAATAATACACTTTTTAAACAATACTAAATAATTAGTATAAGTACACATTTTATTGAAAATTATAGGCTATAGCTAATAATAGTCAATCGTACGATTTTTTTAAAAATATCAATCAAATTGATCATAATAAAAAATAAATTAAGATTTTTTTGGCATTATATCTTCCTAATCCTTATTGTAATTAAATGCAACCATTTGTACATATTCATAACGCGTCATTTGTTTGTTTTTATAATCCTCAATTGCTTTTAAAGTTTTTTTTAATCTGGTTTTAACTTGTGCATTTTTTTGAGGGTTAGATATATTTTTAACACAACTGTTGATTTTAATATAAACATCTGTTTGAACTGTTTTAATTAAAATTTCTAAAAATGTAAAAATATTAGGATGCGATTTATAAAACTGTTCATTGAAGTGAGAGTGAAAAGATTCACAGTTATTGGTGGTTCTAGTTAAATCAGCTGCAAACGGACGGAGTGGTGTTTGGACGAGAAGGGAGATGTCGCCGTCGCGCATAGTCGTCTTCCGCGATAAGCTAATTGCTTATTGCGCGAACACCATTAGTGTTAAAAAGCTCCGAGAAATACAAGTTTTTAGGAAAAATCAGTTTTCAACAAAACAGATTTTATTTTTTGGTGTAACTATAAACACTATAAACAAATTACCATAGATGCATCACAATTTCACCAGTTGTTTATATTAGCATTTTCTATACACGATTAAAATTAGGATTTGTTTTTAACTGTAACGGACATTCACAGTTTCCAATTTTTTAGTTTTTTTTTATGAATGTCAATACATTATTTATCTTAAAAATTTAATACAAGGCTCTTAATATATTGTTAAAATTACATTTGAAAAATATTTAAAATATTAAAAAAGTATTTAAAGTTCAAATTTTTACAAGAAGCGTAAAAATTACTAAAATGTGCAAAACTATTTTATGTTAGAAATTCTTAAAAATGTTTCTTTTTAAATCTAAATTTTAAAATGTAATACAAGATTCCTTATAAGGTTGTCTACTTTAAACAAAAAAAAAAAATGTAAATAAGAAAGTAAAATTTAATTTTTATGAGCGTTTGATAAATTCTAATTTTTATAACATTATTGGATATTTTATTGAATATTATTGGATTCGACTTTTCATGTACCGATTTTCTTATTTTGTTGTAATTCGAAAACGAATAGTCGTAGACACTTGATATTTATATCATATGTTTGTTTTATAAATTCCTTTGATAAAATTTTCAAAATATTTTGACTTGCTTTGAGCTGTTTACGAACAATAAAAAATTGTATTCATTGGGTCAAAATGCGTCAACATTTAATAAAAGGCTCCTGATATATTACTTAAATAGCATAATAGTTGCAATAATAATAAAAATACATGGGCAATTTTTTTTTTTATTTTATTATAAATATAACAGGAAAAATTAAATAGGTATTAAAACGAGCAGGACAGCTAGATTTCTAGTCATTACTAAAACTCAATAACTGTTTATAAACCGATGTCATTACTTTCAATTAACTTATGATGCACTCTAGGTGTTTGTCATAATACATTCCTGTAATTATATACCCATCTAGTTTTCGCATGTGTTTTGACTGTGTGCATTTTAATGTGCACTTTTCTTTTTATATTTAGCTAGACCCTGACGGGTAGTTGGATATAATGTTTGTGAATTTCTAAATTATTGCTCTAAATTCTAAGCTTAAACTGTATTACAGGGCTTCAGCCTGTCTATTATTCATTTAAATAAATGATTATGATTATTGTTATAAACATAATAGGTATATTAATATATGCTAGTATTTAATTACACCGGAGGAGAAGTAATGCTATCCAGAGGAGAAGTAATGCTAACCGGAGGAGAAGTAATGCTAATCCGGAGGAGAAGTAATGCTACCCGGATGAGAAGTAATGCCCGGAGGAGAAGTAATGCTAACGCGGTTCCTCCTCCGGTCCTCGATCTAACCAGGGAAAAAAAAAGTATTTAATTACAAAATTGATTTTGTCAAAAACTGATTATGATATTCACTATAGTTTGTGAAATTTCCGAGTAAAATATATTTATTTACTTTGAATTTGTAAACAAAAAATTAATGTATTTGTTGTTTTAAAATGAGCCAATAATATGTATTATTATTGATTACCATCTATAATATAAAAATGAATCGCTGAATGTGTTGCTAAGAGAAAATCTCGAGAGCAGCTGAACCGATTTGGATAAATTTTTTTTTAAGATGTTCATAATTGGTAGGAGATGATTTTTACCAGGGACTGGAACCAATAGGGTTTTTCGGTTCC